TGATGGCTGTCTATACAACCCAGAGCAAATCTCTAACAACTTTTTTTGTGTGTGTTTTGGGCCCTGCGTGTCTTCATTTATATAACTCCCACCCTAAAAATTGGACATTTTGGACAGATAGTATTAATAGAAACAAACCCCAAAAATAATTTTCTTAGGACTAAGAAATTTAGACAACATACTCATTATATCTTCTTATAAAAGGGAAGTGGTTAAGCTAGAGAAAATTTGGTTTTGCTCAATTTTACTGAATCTTGGATAGTTATTTCTGGGTTCAATTCATTTTGGAACAATTCTTAAATTCATTTTGGAACCATTCTTAAATTCATTTTATAGTTTAAAACATAATTATTAACTAGTTTCTTTTTCAATCTTTCTCTCAAGTATTCAATCTACTCTTCTGAGAGTTTTAATAATTATTATCAAATTAGTAGTCCCTCCAGATCCCCCATCTAGTGATTTCATGTCATTACACATTTGAAAATGGTCAGTGCCCTATTACACTTGTAAACAAATTCCTGCTTCAAACATTTTAAATGATTTTATCTTCATTATACTTTAAATTTCCATAGGATTTTACTACATCATTTTTTATTATCCATGCCAATGTTTTTATAGCAAAATTGGTATTAACCAACTGATATTGGTCAAATTTTCAGGATATATTTTATAATAGATATGCTACGGGAATTAGAGTTTATTTTTATTTGAAATATTTATATCAACTTAATTGACTGAAAATCTGCAAATGTAATACGAATTTTCATAAAATGGGAGAAAAAAACTCTAAATGAACCATCCACATATTCTTTGTATTCTATTAGTAAGAAGAAAGTTCAATTCAGACACCTTCTTCTCATGAACTGCTACTTTGTGGAACAGACTTCCAAGAGAATAATTTCTCAATTGCTATAATCATAAAAATTGTGAACTTATAATGAAATCTTTATTAGTTACCATTTTATAAAGTTTGGATTGGCCAATATTTTTCCATCCATTCCAAAGAACACAATTCACCAGTTTCTTTAGTCAATGTGCTTAATGTCTGTTCGTCATTTAAGATTTCTTCCTCAGTCAGTACTTGGCTGACAATAAATAATCTATTGGCAGATATTTTAGGCATTTTTAGAAAAATTAACTATAGTTTAAAAAATTTTCAAATTTATATTTCTTAAAAAGTGTGGGTGACGTATAACACCAGTTGACATTTTTTTCTCTAAATGTTGTTGGTCAATAGGCACCTGTTTCTGGGCTATTTTTTCACACTGAATCTGAAAATCAAGTCCATTTTGCCCCATCACATCACATTTTCTCAGTACAGATAATTTTTATTTTGTTTAAAATAGGTCAAAATGCCTAATTCCCAGGGATATGTTAAATATACTAGTGATATAGTCAAAACATTTTGTTTCATGTTAAAATGATTTATCATTCAAGAAAAAGCAACCAGGTAACTTTCAAAATGAATTCTAAGCTATTTCAGTTCAGATAAACTGACCTGAAAATCCTTGATTTTATATTCTTGTGCTCTCAATGTTCTTAGCATTCTTTGTGATTTGTGTTTCTTCTCTACTTTTCATAGAAGAAGCTCTTTAAAAGTCATTCAAGAACAGTGATTTTAGTTTTTATTAGTAGTTTTCAAGTTAAGTTTTAAACTGTCATAAGATTTTATCATATCACTTGAATTCATGGAGGTCTGGTATTGTCATACAGTCTCTGTATAACATGCATAGGAACATCGATAAATGATGGCTGTTAGGCAAATGTATTTGAGATTAGCAAGATTAGAATTTTCTTTAGCAGCACTTAAAATAGTCACCAAACACAAGATAGGCATAGCCAACTAGGCAGTTTGCAGATGGGATGTTAACATAAAGGCTGATTGCTGGAGCATCAAAAGAGATCAACCTTTGAAAAGCACCATAGAGTTTCCAAGAAGAGAAGGTTCATGCCTTTGGATGGACAGAAATGAATGTATTTTTCATTCCTTTGTATCTTCTTTGTCTGTTTTGATTCAAAATTGATGGCACACATTTACCTTAATTTAATTTTGTGTGAGATTTTTCTGAAAACTTTTTCTGAACTGAAAGTGCTGAAAATTCATTCTTTATGTTATTGGCATACTTTTTCTTTTATGCTAAGTAATTCTAACCTGAAAACATTTAAGGTTGGTTCTACTTAGCATTAGCATATCACTATTAAAGGGGTATTTTTGCCTATTTTAAGAAAAACAGAAATTATCTGTATTGAGAAAACATGATGTGATGTGAAAAAATAGACTTGATTTTCAGATTTAGTGGGAAAAATAGCTCAGAAATATTTGCATGTTGCCCAATAACATTTGGGTAAAAAAAAAATGTCAACTGGTGTAATTGCTGGAGTTTCAGGGCTTGGATTTCTATTGAGTAGAAATCCTAGACCATGATCATAAAAAATAAACAAATTGGAAAATTAAAACAAGGAGTAATCTGAAAATGTATAAAGCTGGAAAAATCATGTTTATTTAAATTTTCTTGAGACCCAAAATTTGGCACCAAATGGAATTTAGGTCCCAATGCTAAGATGTTCAGAAGACCACAGAGCTGCAGGATGTGTTTTTGCCTACTCCAAGAACAGGTGATGCTGGCCATGAGCAAACCTGAAAGATTCATAAACAAGCAGCCAGTGGATGAAGATTATGAGCAGCAACAGAGAAGTGTTTCATTCAATTTCAAACAGATACATTTATTTGGATTTTGTCCCTGATGCCATGACTTTAACTGCTAAAGGAATACGTTTTTAGTAATTCAATATTCTCATTCTCATTGTATAATGAATTTCTTATATAAAGTATGCTTTTTAAATTGTTATATTATCTTGTCTTTGTTGATTATACACAACTCAATTTGGGGAGTTGCTAAATTTTCCACAATATTTTTTATAAAATTATGAATAAAAACCTTGTTTACATAGTTATCTGTAAAATGGTAAATAACTGTTCTGGTATGAGCCACCTAATTTACATAGTGGAGTACCGACGATATAAATATGGGTTGGTACCGGAAGACGTTGGAAGAAGGAAGAAGAGATCGAATCGAGAGACTCTGCCCGACTGCGATTAAGTCAACCCATTCTACAGGAACAGTCTTCCCAAGAATATACCAAAACTAACTGTAAATATTGTGTACCTTTTCCTTGTTTCAATACATTTTGTTTACGTACATTTTGTGTTGTATTATTATTATTCCATGCTTATCCAAGCTTCAACAATAACAAATATTGCATTGTAGTTGATTCAGATATTTGGAAAATTTTGTAGGTTTTTATAAATTTTTGAATAAAAATATTTCTTTTTTGAATTTATTTCTTTATTAAATGATAAATAATGAAACTTTATAAAATGGTAAATAATAAATATTGCATTGTTTTTGGTTCATATATTTTTATGATCTTGTAAATAAACATTGCTAAAGGAGTCTCAGTAGTTTAAAGTAACAGTGTTGTTAATAGGAAAACCATCCTTTTGAAACACCGTTTTTTTGCAGGCACAAAAGTTAAACATTGCCAAAAGTTCTTTGAGCCTAGAGACAATAGTAGATTTTTAAGAGGATACAGTAAAACTTTAATCAGCATCACAACAGATAAGATATTCATTTTCATTATTTCTTTTAGGGAGTCATTAACAACTGAAATAAACTTACAGATGAAGTACTAAGTGAAAGAACAGTTCAGGAATTTAAACACATTCAAGCAAAAAACAAAATTCAAAAGAATGAGAGAGAATGAGATATAAACCAATAGACCTCTTTTACTTGTGATGTGGAAATGGAAAGAGTTATCATTTTATGTCTTGCAAACAATATTTTGTGAACTCATGTAAATCCAGTTAAAAAAAAGACACAATGAAAGCAAACAACAGTTAGTAAATGTATAAAGAAAGAAACAAAGTTGAGTTTATGAGCAGTTTAATACAATCATCAGTCAGTGTCTCTGAAGTACTTATATGCCTTATATCTCTAAGTGAATAGAAACATTGTTGCTGCTCCCAAAGTCAAAGGGAAAAGAGGAAGAGTCTTCCAAATATTGTGCCATCTGTGATTATCCTCAAGGGGTGGTAAACCAACACTTGTTAACTATTATGGTAAATTATTGTTGTGTTGAGATTTCTTATGCAATTCAAAGGCTTTTCATCATATTGCAAATAATTTAATAGTATAGGTATATATATTTTTAATTTTAGGTATATAAATTATCATATGTATAACATCAAAACAAGATAGTGTAAATTTATTAAGTGATGGGAAAATAATGTTAGAACTTGAGTAGTGAGTTCAGTCCTCACTGGGTGCCCCACACTTTCAGTCTTGCACTACATCTAAGCAATGATTAGAAAATCAGAGCACTTCAACATGGTGTAATGGTTAGCAAGCTAGTCATGGTAGATCAATTACAACTGAGTAGTCAGTTTGATTTTCATTGCTCCACCCTTTCAGCTTTGTGCCACATCTAAGCTAAGCTTAGAAAATAATTAAGGCACTTCATTGTGGTGTAACAGTTAGCAATCTTGTCTCATTAAATCAATTACGACTAAATATTGAGTTTGATCATTTCTAGGTTCCCCATACTTTTGGCTTTGTGCCACATCTGACGTATGCTTAGAAAATCACCATAATGTTAGAACTTATGAAAATGTTGTGGGAAATACACATACATATTCTCATGCAACAATTGACCAATAGTAGGAGATATCACAATTTTAATGTTTTCATTCAGATAGAATAATTAACCAATCAAATGGTTCCATTTAGTTTTCAAAAACATCTAATACTGGGTGCCAATAGTTAATCTGAAAACAAATAAGTGAGCAACTCCCAGAAAGGCAGCATTAGAAAATTTACTCATGTCAAAATCACTCACTGGTAGTGCAGTGACTTCAAAAAAACCTAGTTGACTGCTACACACAATCTATTAGCTATAGGTACCAATCACTAATTGACTGTTTTCCTTCACTTCCTGGTTCACAGCCATATCACATTGAAACATTGGTTCTCATCCATCACTAAAGTTAAGCAATGTTGAGCCTGATTAGTACCTAGATGATTGACCACTTGGGAATAACCAGGTGTTGTAAGCCAGGATGTATAGGTGGTGTAATGGATAATGGCTCAGAATTAGAACTTGGAGAGCTGAGTTTCAATTCCAGTTGTGTTCGTTATATCCACTTATGCACAAATACACGTGGGAAAGGTATAAATTCTTGCTTACAAGTCAATGTTACCATTTCCCTTTAGGAATATATCCTTCCCAGATATATAAATCCTTGGCTAGCAGTCCCCAATTTGGGAAAACCCAAGACTCACCATTTCCAGTTTATGGAATATGTCCTTGCTTGGGATATAATAGATGAACCCAGCCTGTCTGAATCTGGAGTCCTAAACATGGCTTCTCCAGAAACACAGTTCTCCATATTATATGTAAAACTCATCCTTTTTGTTCTCCTTTCACTCTACTTGACTGTGTAGATATATGATATATTATTCTCTGTGTGAGTTATATGTAAATATGTATATATATAGTTTTGTGTATGTCTTAGTGGTATAAAGTCTCTCTGAGAACAAAGCATGTTTGTCATTCTTTTTTCTTTCAGCTATTCTGTTCTATCCATGATATAAGGTTTTATTATATCATGGATATAATAATGCCTGTAATAGTGGGGTGGGGGTATACAAATAGGAGAATAAACCTTTCTTCCGTGGATCTCTTCCATTATACTATTTACTGTATATACAATTTTTTCTGGCATGCAATGTTGGTACTGGAAACTAAAACGTTTGTTCCAAATTCTATTAGTGAACTTACGGTCAAATGAATATTTATTATTACCTTAAATATTAATCATGGCTCCACTACAAAGTTGAAGAGACAGCACACAACAATGCAAAATTGAAAACATTGGCAAGATAAGAACAAGAAAATAAACCAGTTTTAAGATCATCACAAAAACAGATTTGAGAAAAAGTGAAAGGCTAAAAACCAAGAAATGTTGATTGACAAGCAAGAAAACATTTGAAGAAACTGGTGTTGCAAATGTAAACTGTGAGAAAAGATGCAGGATATTAAGAACATCAGCTAAAGATGTGAAATCAAACAAACTACTAATGTTAAGTAAATATCACAAAGAAAATCATGCAAGTTGGATGAAGAAGTACATGAAAACTGGTTTCTTAATAGTAATTTTTATTACTAAATGTACATTTGATAGAAATGGAGCTTGGGATAGAGATTAGGTTATTCATGGGAATAATGAACTGAATAGACTTAAAAGACAACAGTGGAAGAGATGACAGTAAGGTATCATAGGCAGTAAAAGTGTAAGTTCTTTGAAAGTTGATGATGGTATCAGGATAAATGCATAAAGTTATTGTAAGTGATTGGACAAGACAGTTTTGAGTGACACAGGCTTTAAGCTAATGAGTAGGATTCATGCAAGTCTACATTCCTTTATACTCTGCAAAGCCAACTATTATCCATCATGTTAAAAATGGTTTCAAAGACTCCAAATTAATAGAATGGCCCAATCCCCATGTGGCTTCTCAGGATATTAAGCCAGTAGAAAAGTTGTGTCATCAGAAAAAGAAACTCTATTCTTGCTTGTGAAACTCTCTTCCAGCTTCTTGCTTTCCAGTCAACTTTGACCTTCAAAAATTTAAACGCAATGTCAATCATTATCTTCTTAATTCCTGTTCTTTTATTGTACTCTCTCCTTAACAATGGCTTCTTTTTCTCGTATTAACTCACACTCAGTAACCCCTTGTGTCTTAGTGGCTTTATTGCTTTACTTCAGGTGAAATGATTAAAAAAAGTATTCATGTAGAAGGCCACATTACTTAATTTGCATGAAGTGTAACATTTTTTTAAAAAATTCAAACTACTTTTAAAGTAAAATCACCAAGATGGAAAAAAATTTAAAAAATAAGAAATGTTTTTTCTACAATGGAATGATATATACACTATGAACAGAAAAAGAAATGAGAATGGAAAACAATATTCAGGAAAAGATCCCTGGAAAGTAATAAAAATACTGTAAAAATACTGCTAAAGTTTAAATGGTAGAAAAGTTAACAAAATCAATAAATGAAACAGAGATGAGGGTTATAGAATATCAAAGAACCCATATTAACATGTAAAATAATTTATGCAGGTATATGGTGTTAATCAAATATATACTATCTGGCTTACATCTTTTGGATTTGTTTGTATCATAAAACTTGATATCTCAAGTTATTATCAATATATTTCAATAAGGATGGATATTATAAACTGAAAATCATATGATGTATTGCTTATATATCTTGAAATTTTTTTATCAAAATCAATTAGTTAATATCAATTTTATTGGGAAAACATTACTTTTATTGTAAAATCTTACACTGTGTAGTAATTCAGGAGTGGAGAAGTTTATTACTTAATAACGATAGAAAACGGATCCCCCACTTTATGTGCATTAGAAATTTATATTAATATTTAATGTAAATATATCTTGAAAATTTTACCAAAATCAGTTGGTTAACATCTATTTTATTACAAAAATATTGACTTGGATAATATAAATCTGATACTATGTAGCAGTTCTAGGTGGGAGCAATTTATTACTTAATAACAATTGTCATCATTGGTTTTATCTTGTATCCAAGAATTTAATTTCTTCTTTGCTGATCGCTTTCTTTATGATGATGCTGTTGATGACTACATTCATCATCAACATGCAGGTTCAGGACTAGAAACTGCCACCTTCACCAAAACTTTTCCTGTCATCTATTCATTGTCATCATTTGGCTTTGCAAGAGTTAGTTGAAGATGAAAGAAAATCAGAGTAGAAAAAAGTGCCAATGGCATGAATTTGTTTAAATTGAACCTCAACTTGTCAGGAAGTGACCCACACACTTGACTTCATGACCTTCCTCTTTGGCACATATACTTTATAACAATAATAAAAGTATATATTTGTATACAATCTAATATTTTAAAGAAACAAGATTATCTTTGAGATATGCTTAAATTCATAAAACAAACTTAATCTTTCATAATTATTATTGAAGATAATCTAAAACCTAATCTTTTTAATTTGCAATGAAGCATTTTATTAGAACTTAGAAAATTTAAATATTACTTTACACTTAAGAATAAATCTCTTTATTCTTATTCCTATATGTTAAAAACATCTTATTTAGTTTAATGCCATCACTCTGAAATATCATTCTTAAATTTCTGTTATGAACTGCTTTTTCTAAGGCAAATCTTGATATCTAAGCTTATTAATGACAACCTTTTACTTCAAAATAAACTCCTTGAAGACCACTCCTTGTAATCTTAATGGACATCTTCCAGCAAATATTCATTCAAACCCATAACAAATATTAACAGAAGACATATAATTTCTCAGTGTTAGCATTTAAAATAACTTGATATGCAGAATATCAATAAGTCTATAATTTTATCACAGGAGAATCTTGTAAATCTTAACTAGTAATTCAACCAAGAGAAAGATATTTCTGATGTTAAAACTAGGATAAGTGAAGCTCTTTTAGTTATGAAGGGTAGCCAGATAATGGAAAATCCCATCTAAATAGGAAATAATAAATTTAGTAGAGGACAATGAAAGGTTATTATATTTGAGTAGGAGATAGACAATAGATTTGTCTGTCAACCTTGCCAAGCTACAAATTGATAACAGAAATGTAAAACAGAATGTGGTGATTATATCCACAATATTATGCCAAGATATTGCCTCAAGTATATGGAGGGTTAGTGCTAAGTCATGTGCATTTAAATGAACTGGGTGACAGCTTTTGAAAAGAAAAAGGTACAATAACTTATACTATTTAAATATATTTAATATTCAAATAGTAAAAGAGAAATAAAGAAAAAATAGTGATTCCAGACAATGTGCATCTGCAGACTTAGCTTAGGAGAAAAGGCATCTGGATAACTTGTCAACAGTCTTTGTTGAAGAAGTTCCTTTCAGTCCATGGCTAGCTTCTATAGATAGTAATAATTTCCCTTGAGATTACTGGATTTGTTCTTCTGAAACTACTGTCTAAGTCTAGTGGTGAAAAAAGCAGCCTGAACAAATTGTGGAAGAAAAAAAGGAGGATGGGTCTTTGAATTTGGCACTTATATAGGCAGTGTCATGTGACTGTTACAGGGGCAGAGATTTGTTTTTTCTTTAGCTATTCTTCATCTTCATTTTATCCTGTGTTTGATTAATCTTATTTTTTGATTGATTATTCTAATTCGTTTAACTGATTGATTTGTTTTTTATGGCTTATCAACCCTTTGCAGGTTTTAAAGCCACAAAATAGTTTTAGATTGTAAGAATTTTTTGGAGATAATAATGATTTACTGATACTAGTGTTAGTAATTAACCCATGGCTGGGGGAGAAGAGATGAATTCATACCTTTCCAAAGCATAAGTAAATATAAAGAACTCAACTGGCATCAGAACTGGGCTCTTTGATTTTTGATTCCGAGCCGTTATCTGTTTCAACACCTGCACATTCAAACTTACAGCACCTAGTTATTCCCAAGTGGTCGCCCATCTCTGTACAGGCCAGGCTCAATGTTTCTTAACTTTGGTGATCTTAAGAGACTCAGTGTTTCAGTGTGATATGGAATGAGCAGAAGTAACATTATAAGGATAAATTAACAAAATTAAATGTGAGTTCTCTCCTCTAGCAAGAAGAGTGACATAAGAACAATCAACCCCATTAGTGGAATAAAAATTTTTGTTTGAAATTTCAAGATTATTACAGAATACGACAGACAACTGAGGAAAACCAGAAATGTAAAATGGCTGAAATGCTGTGACTATATACAACCAAGATGAAGGCATTAATTTACATAAACCAGTATATAACAAAATAGACTATAAAACTTAAACCTGGTTAATTTTTTTTTAATTAGAGCATTCAGATTTTATGACTGGACTATAAAATTTATTCACAATAATAAACAAATTTCTTCTGTATAAAATGGTGGAAAAAAATTTATACTTAGTTAAAGCAAATTTATTATTGCTTTAGGTTCTTGCATAATAAAGTGTTTTCATGACCCAACACTTATTTTCATAAAACAAACACATCCAACACTTATTTTCATAAAGCAAACACATCCAACACTTATTTTCATAAAACAAACACATCCAACACTTCTTTTCATAAAGCAAACACATCCAACACTTATTTTCATAAAACAAACACATCCAACACTTATTTTCATAAAACAAACACATCCAACACTTATTTTCATAAAACAAACACATCCAACACTTATTTTCATAAAACAAACACATCCAACACTTATTTTCATAAAACAAACACATCCAACAATTATTTTCATAAAACAAACACATCCAACACTTATTTTCATAAAACAAACACATACAACACTTATTTTCATAAAACAAACACATCCAACACCTATTTTCATAAAACAAACACATCCAACACTTATTTTCATAAAACAAACACATCCAACACTTATTTTCATAAAACAAACACATCCAACACTTATTTTCATAAAACAAACACATCCAACACTTATTTTCATAAAACAAACACATCCAACACTTATTTTCATAAAGCAAACACATCCAACACTTATTTTCATAAAACAAACATATCCAACACTTATTTTCATAAAACAAACACATCCAACACTTATTTTCATAAAACAAACATATCAAACACTTATTTTCATAAAACAAACACATCCAACACTTATTTTCATAAAACAAACACATCCAACACTTATTTTCATAAAACAAACACATCCAACACTTATTTTCATAAAACAAACACATCCAACACTTATTTTCATAAAAAACAAACACATCCAACACTTATTTTCATAAAACAAACACATCCAACACTTATTTTCATAAAACAAACACATCCAACACTTATTTTCATAAAACAAACACATCCAACACTTATTTTCATAAAACAAACACATCCAACACTTATTTTCATAAAACAAAACACATCCAACACTTATTTTCATAAAAACAACACATCCAACACTTATTTTCATAAAACAAACACATCCAACACTTATTTTCATAAAACAAACACATCAAACACTTATTTTCATAAAACAAACACATCCAACACTTATTTTCATAAAACAAACACATCCAACACTTATTTTCATAAAACAAACACATCCAACACTTATTTTCATAAAACAAACACATCCAACACCTATTTTCATAAAACAAACACATCCAACACTTATTTTCATAAAACAAACACATCCAACACTTATTTTCATAAAACAAACATATCCAACACTTATTTTCATAAAACAAACACATCCAACACTTATTTTCATAAAACAAACACAAACACTTATTTTCATAAAACAAAACACATCCAACACTTATTTTCATAAAACAAACACATCCAACACCTATTTTCATAAAACAAACACATCCAACACTTATTTTCATAAAACAAACACATCCAACACTTATTTTCATAAAGCAAACACATCCAACACTTATTTTCATAAAGCAAACACATCCAACACTTATTTTCATAAAACAAACACATCCAACACGTATTTTCATAAAACAAACACATCCAACACTTATTTTCATAAAACAAACACATACAACACTTATTTTCATAAAGCAAACACATCCAACACTTATTTTCATAAAACAAACACATCCAACACTTATTTTCATAAAGCAAACACATCCAACACTTATTTTCATAAAGCAAACACATCCAACACTTATTTTCATAAAACAAACACATCCAACACTTATTTTCATAAAGCAAACACATCCAACACTTATTTTCATAAAGCAAACACATGCAACACCTATTTTCATAAAACAAATACATCCAACACTTATTTTCATAAAACAAACACATCCAACACTTATTTTCATAAAACAAACACATCCAACACTTATTTTCATCATACATACACACACATACACACACACAAATAAACTAAAAAACTGAATACATATGTCATGAAATGAACACCAGGGATAGACCCTTTAAACCAGGAAAGCCTGGGAAATATGATAAACTTACATATAAAACAAGTATTTTTTTTTGAATAAGCATTTGAATCATTGAAGTTGATCCCTAGATCACATAGTTTATAGAAATAGTAATGATTTATATAAATATTATTTTCCATTATTTATACTTTATTTAGTTGTTGGTACCAATCCATATAAGAATGAGTGCAAAAAGTTCCCCCTCCCTAAATTTATAGACAAATCATACAGATGCATGGAATTACTTCCTAGCCAGTAAGATAGACCACTTCTCAGTCTCATCTGCTATATTCTTGTACTTTTTTGTCTTGAGGTCAGAATACTGTCCTTACTTGTCTGTATCCCTTTTGTGTGTTAACATCATTCTTAGTTTGTGAACTTTTTCCTGTTGCTTTGTCTACTTTTGTCTTGCTTAGTATTATTTTTGTCCTGTTCCTTTCTTATTGTTTATTGGAAACTTTGTCAATTCTATTTGTTGGGCATTTCTGACAATTACATTGCCAATTACTCTGATCCCTGGGTCAGATAGTTTATAGAAATAATAATGATTTATACAAATGTTGTTTTCCATTTACTTTATTCAGTTTTTCTCTTAAGCTCATGAGTTTTGGTAGCCAGAACTGGAGTACTTCTTTGAAAAGTGGGTTAAGTTTTGATCAATATGTACAATTGAAGGTATTAACTGGTAATTTTATTTTTGCAACATTCTTTATGACATGGAGATTACCCCACCTCATCTGCCAGGTATCATTCTATTGAGGACTATAAAAACAAGGGGACATAAACACTCTTGATTTCAGTTTACTCTGAAGTGTAGTAGCCACAACAACTGGACTTATCTCATTCAGGAAGATGTTGTACCCTGGCAAACCAACTACTTAATTTCAGCTCATCCACGTTGACATTACTCTCTCTCTCTCTCTCTCTCACACACACACACACACACACACACACACACACACACATACACTATGCTAAGCACATAAATAATTTTTTTCATTTTTCAACTATCTGTATACATGTGAATATAATTTTCCTTTTCTCTTTTGTGAGCGGTGTTGTACTTTATATAAGTATCTATATTATAATTCTGCTTGTCCCTCCCTTTGTTAGTTAGTTTCTTAGTTAGTTTAGATGACCATTACACCTGGCCAATACCTCATAAATAATGAACTATTCCATTTTGACCCTGTGAAACATGGAAATGACATATCAGTGATGTTACTTGGTTTCAGTGTGGAAATGAAAGAAAGAAAAAAAAAATGAAGAAAAGATAGAAGTGTTTAATGTCTGTTTCAATGAAATGGAAAAAGTTGTCAATTTTCGATATTTCATTTGTACCCCCTTACTTCTTTAAATAACAGCCTGCATTCATATTTATGATTGTTATTGACTGCAATATTTTGTTAAAATCTTCATGGCTCAAATATTTAACGATGCAATGTGCAATAGCAGTCTGACTGTTAACATGTAGCCTTGTATAAGTGATATATGACAGTCATTCTGCAACCAACATGAAAAAAAATGAATGACTGACAAATAGTGAGAAGAATTTGGCATAAAATGAAACTGCTAGTAAAAGTCAGGTTGTAATTCGTCAGCAGGCAAAAAAATTCATAGCAATAAAATTGAAATGAAGAAGAGAAAATATCTTTGTGAAATAAACATTGGACTAATTTATTTACTTTACAAATTATATGTCAGCAATTGCTGTGTGTGTGTGTGTGTGTGTGTGTGTGTGTGTGTGTGTGTGTGTGTGTGTGTGTGTGTGTGTGCTGAATATAGAATGGGAAGGGTTCATTCATAAAGTGTGTATGTGTATGTGTGTTTGTGTGAGGAAAATTATAAATTTCAGTGCCTTTGAAATCAGGTTGTAAAAAGTTTGGATGGCAACTTGGTCACAAATGGGTGCAAAGTTTGTAGCATGTTGAATGGTGTGACCCCAGTGAGTAAAATTTGCCAGTTTTTATAGCCATTTTGAAGCTCCAAAAGGCTGGATGAAAATATTTTTATCTTCTTTCTGACTATTTAAAAAATATTTTTGGAAACCATGTTGTGTGTTCTTTATTATGTCTGTATCTTAAAACATATGTGACTTGTAGTTTTTTATGACCTTGAACTGTTATTCACCCTTCATAAATTTTTGGTGCCTTTTCCAGGATCCTCTTTTTTGCACAAAAGATTTTCTACCACAGACTAAGCCTATTCTTAACTTCTATAAGCGAAGCATTTATTATTATCAGATATACCACCTTTTAAGTAAACTATCTTATTCATAATTAAAACCACATCTGTCAATTAATTGAAAGCAAAATAACTATTCTAGGATAGAACTAAAAATGAAAGCAAATATGAGTTCAAAATGAGAAAATTCAAGGAAGTTTCATCATTACTAAAAATAGACAAAAAATTTGGAATATAACAAATGAAGTTAGATTTTCACAAACCAACCAGAAACAAGATATGCTTCCAACAAGCCAATCAAATTTTCTTAGTTCAACAAGATACTTATATAAAGACCAAGATGGGATAATGTCTAAGTTCTCTAATACTTGCTCTCATTGTTAAAAACCAGATCCAAATTACCCATGC